TAAAAATACCACATGATCTCACTTATTCATGGATAATTGAGACCATTATAAACTTTTGAACAATAATAGATACAGAGGCAGAGCTGCCTCAAACAGAGTGTCAAACTGCATCGGGGGGGCCAGGGAGGGTTCGGGGGCGGGAGGTAGGGGGGTAAGAGATCAACCAAAGGACTTGTATGCATGCATATAAGCATAACCAATGGACATAAGACACTGGGGAATAGGGGAGGCTAGGGGACTGTCTAGGGCGGGGGGAAAAATGGACACATATGTAATACCCTTTGTAATAAAAAAAAATATTGTAAAAAATAAAATAAAAAAGGGATAGATCAAAAAAAAAAAAAAAGAAAATGAACATCAGGAAAACAATTTGTCCAACAAAAGGCATGTAACTCATGCTGGACCAACTTTGCCAAATTGTGCGCTCCTAGATATAGTAAGTTTGCAGGAACCTGGGAACAACCACAATCAAATATACTTTGGGAGAATCAGCTAAGTTGAGTTTGGAGCATAGAGCCTATTATTTACTTAACTTTTGAAGACGTCCATGACCTGTGTGTTAAAGTCTGGGTTGCAGAGCAGGAATCACAGAACTTTAGTTAAGCTATTAGTGTAGATTGTGACTTATCCAAGGTATCACAGCCTGTTAGGGTTTGCTTTGTATTTTTTAAAAATTTATCTTTATTATTGAAAGTATTACAGATGTCCCTATTTCCCCCCTCATTGAACCTCTTATCCCACTCCCTTAGTATTTTAAAAATTTATTTTAGAGTTTTAACGTTAGAGGCAGAAGGGGATGGTGGCCTACTAAAGCCAAAGTCGTGGAAATTACATGTGTTTATAAGGACGTATTGGGGTGAGGAGATGTAGATAAGCAAGTACAAGGACAGTGGTACCTGGACAAGGCCCTCCCACTGGGCAACACCCTTCCCAACCTACTCCAACAAAGGTGTCCAAGAAAGTTCACTGGTATGATACTGAATTAAACATTCCAGGAAGCACTGGTAAAGACAATTTGTAATTCATTGTATAATTACCAGAATTCATTGGATAATTACCAACTCTTCATGCCACCCTCCTCAGAGGAGACCTGGCCTGAGTATTCTCCAAGTCTGAACTTTTAGAGATGAACCCAAATCAATAGAGAGCTTAGTAATGGAGAGTTAATGTCAGAGAGCATTCCAGTTAAAAAACTCATGCCAATGTCCATGTGGGTCGCTATTAGAGCACCACATGTATATTTAAAGTATTATACCAAAGTGTTAGGTATGGGATATTACACTCTGCATTTGCAATATCCTATCCTTAACATTTAAAGTTACTCCCAAAGTAAGTCATTTGGCTTTCTAACAAGGACATTCTTTCATTTACAACATGCAATATGTTTGTAATGACTTGTCATTTTTCGGAATTCAGTTCACCACCCTTGCAGGACAGGGAAGGACTGCAAGAGGGATGCCAAGGGCAGCCTGTCTCTCGGTGGGCTTGTTGAAGGAGGAAGGGGAGGGGAAAAGGAGAAGGGAGAGAATGGCCTGAACAGTTTATAAGCCCATGATGTTCTCCATCACAGCTGAGCCCTGGCCAGACATCTCTGGAAGGCCATGGTCAAATACTGGGTTAGAAATAGTGATTTTGGAGTAATTCTAAACTCACCTTCTGGTGGGATGAGAAAGGAAATCAACATTGAGTGAGCAAGTACTATATGCCAACCATTATGCATTCTTTATTTCATAGGGTCCCATGATAATTCTAGATGTTAGCTTTATTTTTCCCATTCTATTTTTAAGAAAACTGAGATTCAGGACATTAAAAAAGTTGGTGGAAATCACAGAGTAAGTAAGTGAAGGAGCTGAAACTTGATATCCTGGCCACTGCTCCCTCAGCTTAATGGAAGGAAACAGTGGGCTACAGTCAATTACTTCTGTTTTGGTGGGAAGCAACCAGGCAGCAGCTGGCATCAGAAAACTTATTTCCTAGGCAAGGGAACAGAGGGGAGAAATAAACTCATCTTGGGAACCTTGAAGGGTGTGGGGATGGAGGAAAGGGGATGCCAGTGACACCATGTGTTCAAGATATTTTCTGTGGCATCCATGGGAGTTGTCAAGGCCCTGAATGTTGAGCCACCTGGCAAGGGGTGGCTGCAGCAGAGACAGTTTTTGTGTCTTTCTTGTAAAAGGCAGGGGCTTGAAAGATGGGTTCAGTCTACGGCCATAGCACCCTGAACGCGGCCCGATCTCGTCTGAAAGATGGGTTCAAACAAATCTTGTTCCCTCAAGTGCTTTTGGGCTCCTACTACACCATAGGTGCCGACACAGGAATGACCACAACATAGACTTTGCCCCAAATGAGCTTATATTCTAATGTAGATACAATGAATAAATAGCAAGTGAAATGCGGTTTAGCAGATGGCGATAAGCCGAATGGAGAGAAGCCAAGCAGAAGCAGAGACCTGGGGGACCAGTGTAACTGTGCTTTCTATAGGATGGTCAGGGAAGGCTTCACTCCCCAGGTGACATGCGCTGGAACTGAAGGAGGGAGCCATGTGACTATCTGGGAGAAATCCATTTCAGCCAGAGGAGCAGCAATACAAAGGTCATGAGGCAGGAGTGTGTGTGTGTGTGTGTGTGTGTGTGAGAAATAGCGAGGGGCCAGTGTGCAGTGTAACTGTGCTTTCTATAGGATGGTCAGGGAAGGCTTCACTCCCCAGGTGACATGCGCTGGAACTGAAGGAGGGAGCCATGTGACTATCTGGGAGAAATCCATTTCAGCCAGAGGAGCAGCAATACAAAGGTCATGAGGCAGGAGTGTGTGTGTGTGTGTTTGAGAAATAGCGAGGGGCCAGTGTAGTTGAGTGAGGGGAGAGGAGTGGAGGACAGATAGGGAAGTAGTTGGAGCCAGAGAGTACAGGACTTTTAGACCACTGAAAAAAATGTCAGATTTTATTCTGAGTGATGTGGGTGGTCATTAGAAGGTTGTGAGCAGAGAAGTGACATGATTTGAGTTTTACTTTAAAAGAGTCTCTCTGGCTGCTGTGTTGGCCATGGCCCTCCTGGCGATGGAGGCAGGGAGCGCCGTTAGGAGGCTGTGCAGTTATCCTGGCGGGGGATGGTGGTTTGGAGCAGGAAGGAGGCAGTGGAGGTGGTAAGAAATGGTCAGAGTCTAGATATAGTTTGAAAACAGTCAAATTGGATTTGCTGATGGATTGGCATATGGGATACACAAGGGGTCAAGGATGACTAAGGTTTTGGTCCTGAGCAAAGGATAGGAGGGAGTTGACCTTAACTGAGAGGCTGCTGGAGGAGGAGGTTTTGATGCATGTGTGTGTCATGTGGGTTTGGGAGATGGGGCAGGAGCCAGAAGTTCATTTTTGGAAATATTAAATTTGAGATGGTTGCTGCTTGTCCAAGTAGATCTCTCTGGAGTCTGAAGTGGTCCAGACTGGGATGTAAATTAGGGGCTTGTTAGCATGTACATGGTGTTTTCAGCCAAGAAACTAGATGAGATCAACTCGGTAATTTAGAGAGAGAAGAGGTCCAAGGACTGAGCCCCGGGGTGCTATCATTTTTAGAGGTGGGAAGAAACTAGCTGGAGACGGAGAAGGAGTTGTGTCTTGGGAGCCAAGCGAGGAAAGCTGTTGAGAGTTCAAATAAGATGAGAATAGATAATTGGCCATTGCACAGAGGTCAGTGGTGACTCACATGCGGCAGCTCAAGCCTGATTGGAGCAGGTTCAAGAGAGAATGGGAGGAGAGGTGTGCAGTGTGCCAGTGTAGACAGCTCTTTGGAGGAATCGTCCTGCTAGGCAGAGCAGAGAAATGGGACAGAAACTGAAATGTGAGGTCAAGAAAGAATTTGTTTTCCTTCTTCCTTCTTTTCTCCTCCTCTCCTTTCCCTCCCTCCCTCCCTCCTCCCCTCCCTCCCTCTCTCCCTCCCTCCCTCCTGTGATGGAAATGCTGCAGGCCTGCATGCTGGTGGGAGCAGGAGGGAAGAAGCTGTGAGGAGTGTCCTGGAAGAGGGGAGCAGGTGGAAGAGTGGCCTCTGGGGCACAAAGGCCCACTCGCAGAGACGGAGGGCAGAAAGAAAACACAAAATTCAAACTTTCTAAACGTGAGGCAAATTCAATGTAGAATGATTTAAATGCTTTAATCCTATGATTCCTGTAATTTTCTGAAACCTAAAAGGGTTCCCTTTCAATCCAACATTAAGCCCAGACTCCACCCTGTGCCATTCTCTCTATCCACCCAAGCTTGCTGTGTACTAGTCCCCAGCTCAAAGCCTGCCATCTGCCCAGTGGGTCTCCTCCCTCCAAGAGCCTCCTGTCCGTGAGTTTTTGTCCACGCGGTTCCCTCTGCCTTCCCTTCACCTAAGCAGCGTGCCCTCCTGGAGTTCTCCTTCCTCTGCATTTTCCTCAGGCTGTCCGCTGCAGCACACATTGGTTGTTTTCTGATTACTTTACCGGGGACAGCCTTGTTTCCTGCATAGATGGGATGTGCTTGAGGTTAAGAAAAGCTCTCTTTCTAGCCCTGGACATCTAGAAATCTATAATAGTAAAAGCATAATATGCTAATTAGATCGGATGTCCTTCCTTCTGGACAAAGCCACGGTGGGCAGGGGACTGAGGTAGAGGTGGCTGGACCCCCGCTTCCTTCCAATGGACCCGGTAGTACTTAGTTCCAGCACCTATAACACACCTTGGCAAACTCCATCCAGCAATGGTAAAAGTGGCACCAGGTCAGAAGGTATACAGTTGTCTCGGCCTCCACCTTGTCACTGCTCCACAAGGGCCGTGTAGTTCAGTGGAGCTGGAGGAGCTGCAGGCAGGCAGGGTGTTTGTGTTTCCTCTGCAATCAGCATCTGAACCAGAGGAACTTCAGCTCAGAGCAGGCAGAGGGTGACCTGCATTCAGGCTGCTCTGCCCCCTGGGTGGCATCCGATTGAGCCCCATGCCGTCATCAGAGGGATAATGGGATTCATTTCAGCGAGGGCTGCCTGGCTGGGGCCGGGCTTCCTTTAATTTTCAATGTTAATAAACTTATGGCGATGGCTTTCTTCACACCGATGTGCCTCACACCTCATTTCGCCTGCCCATTAGGCAATTACCGGCAGCGCCTCTGCTCCCGGCACCTCTTAAACGCGCAGCAATTATGCTTATTTGGTGAGTGATGATGAAACTTGGAGGAGGCAAACGCACTGGCGTAGAACTTTCTTCCCGACTTCATCAGGTACAAACCGAGCACATCCCTTTAGTGAAAAACGGGGCTCCGGGTACAACCTTCTTCCTAGAAGTGCAGGGACCGTCCCCTCCTGGGTCCCTGACACTGACCCAGCCCTGGCTGACCCAGAGCTCAGACCCCCAGCGCGTGGCTGTGAGAACAGCCTGTCCAGCTCAGGAAATACTCTTCATTTATCTTGAAATGGGAGGTTTTCAGTAGGTCTAAAGTGTGTGTTAGTGCATCAAGAGTCATGATCCTTTTTTTATAAAGTTGTTTAATTCCTCACTTTTGTGCTCCTTGTGGGTCTGAGTGGATTTCTCATTTGCCAAGTTACCCCATGATTTTCACAGAAGCTTACACAACCCCCTTCTCCCCCTTCGAATGACACGCAAGCGAAGCAATCGCCGGTCTGACTTCTGACTCCACTTGCAAAATCTTCCTGGGCTTGAGGAATGGTTTCCAATGAGGGGACAAGGGGAGTGTGTGGACTGGAACGTGGAGATAGGCATAGGTCTGCACCCAGAGAGCAGTGCCCTTGCGCTTGGCCAGGAACACGGCTCCCCTGCTGCTCTGTGACGCCATGGCTCGCTCACCAGTCTTCCCCTTACAGCCCAGAGCCACCTGCTAGCCTGCCATATCCCCAAGCCCCTGCTTCCTAAGTGACAGGTGTCAGTCATCTCAGTGAGGGGCAGGCAGGGTGTAAACTCTCACGTCAGGGCTCCCTTTTAGTTGCAAACCCCATCACCTGTGGGTTTGCAACTTGCTACCCTTTTAAAGACATGGAAAAGATAGAACAGGATAGAAGACATCAGAGTGCACTGCACCTGGGGATAGTATTATTTCACTAAGGGTTGGTTTTGCTTTGTTCATTCAAAATATAGTTTTTGAATAGCTGTTCTGCAGTGGGCAGTGTTCAGTTAGATGGTTATATCTGTGTCCACGTGTGGGTATCTGTGTACTGGATCACAATATAAACTGTATCTCTTACCATGGGTTGGTATACAAACATTTTGGAGAATCCCTGACATAGTTCCTAGCATGCCTCAGGATCTGAGTATCTGCAACCTACTTCTGACTTCAAGGTTCTCACTGGCCACCCTGAGCCGGGGTTCCTGAATGCAGTGCCCTGGGTGGCCCAGTGCTTGCCCAGCAGGATCCAGTGTGTGTTTTTTAACATCTTTTCTGTCCTATTTCCTGGAAGGAGGGGCTGGAGCGAGGCGTGTGGAAGCACACCGCGCAGAGAGAAGGTGTCAGTGACACAGGTGGCAGAGACCCAGGTCACTCAGCCAGATGCTGCTGGGCTGAACCCCTTCAGTCAGAGGAGTCTCTGTTTGGGTGAGATGTTTTCACAGAAGACACAGTACCCAGGCTCAGTGCGATCCCTGGTGGGTGAGCTGGCCAGAATTCCTAAAAGCAACACATACGAAGACTATTCTTAGATCTTCTGATGGTGTCTGGGGCACTTGCTATAATAACCACAAGTGGACAAACCACTAATTTAAAGAGACTTCGATTTTTCTGATTGCAAAAATTCTGAATTGGTGGCTGGCTGTGTGTGTGCATGTGTATGTGCGTGTGTGCGTGTACGTGTGCAACTTTACAGGAAAGCTTCCATGCTGCTTGGCTGCATTTATGGTGAAGTGTCCCAGATTTCCTTTGGGATCCCCGCCCTTTCAAATGTGGGGCTCACCACAGGGACTGAGTCAGTAATGATAGCCGGAACTTGCATCTGAGCTAACACTGGGTGGGGCAAGGTGGGTGTTAAGAAATGTGGGAACCAGCCTGCCATTCAAGAAGGGCCTCAGCCTAGACTTTTGACATTCCCTTCCAAAGAGACTACCTAACCATGGAGGAAAAATTTTCACATAATCATTTCCTATATAGGACAAAGCTACTGATAGAGCCTTGCAGATTAGTGTCTTCAAACAAATCATGTCATTATATGATGAGTAGCACTATTATATTGCACTATATTTTCTGGTGTTCAAAGCTTTGGAGAGTTGAATGCTTACAATTTATTGTGACTTTAGATTTGTAATAGAGGGAGGCCTATGTGGCTTTGGTTAGGTCACTGTGAGGAGACTGACCCAGGACATGCCTGAATGGCAATCCCATGAGGACACTAACTGGAGGCTATTCTAGAAAACTCAGTTCACGTCTCTCTTCCTCAGCAAAGGAGAGGTAAAAACAGAGTCCATTTCTTTTCATTGCTGAGTAATATTCTATCGTGTGAGTAGAGTACAATTTATGCATTCACCTGCTGATGGATATTAGGGTTGTTTTAGTTTGGGGCTATTACAAATAAAGATTCTGTGAACATTTGTGTCCAAGATTTTATATAGATTTCAGGTTTCATTTATCTTGGGCTGATAGCTAGAAGTGTATTGGCCGGATCATAAGGTAGGTAGGTGTATGCTTAACTTTTTAAGAGACTGCCAAACTGTTTGACAAAGTGGCTATTAAGACTTTTGATATTTAGCTTAAAATAATGCAAGTGAATTTGAGTTCATTTTAATTGCCCTTAGACTAGGAGCATAAGATTATAGGACATTGGAGCTAGAAGGAACTTGATATCATAACCCAGTTCTTTGCTTTACTAAAGAAACCAGGATCCAGAAAGATTAAGCGGCTTTTCCAAAATCTTTTATCTCACAGGCTAGTCTCCTCACTCTTCTACACGACCTTGCAATTTGGGAGAAATTCTACAAGTCATGCTGTGACTTCCCAGCACGACCTTGTGTCATGGCCGCCTAAGGACACAAACATCTTTCAAAATTGGCCTCGCTTTGCATGTATTACATAACTTTGAGCGTGGCACAGCTTTTGAAATGGGAAAAATTTTCAGGACATGGAATGAAGAGCATCAAAAGGATAAGAGAGCAATCTACAGGAAATCATATCTGACCACTCACAGTGTCAACAGCAATCCAACCACAGGTAAAATAAAAATGTGCTGTCATCATTAATACCTGGGGCACGGAAGAGATACGTCTAGTTTCTAAGCAAACTAGATGCACCCCAAAATTAAGACTATTATAGAGCGGCCCATTAAAAATGAAGAAAACAACATGCCAATTGCCCAGCTCCACGGGCTTACCTTTCCAGCGCTCACCTCTTATTATCATATTCATAGCGTTGTTTCTCATCAGTCTTCTGGAGTAAAGTTAACAAGTGTGTGCGCAGTGACTGGGAATTGTTTTGCTGAGCCTAAGAAGCTGTCACGGGGTTGAGGAGGCTGCCGCTTTAACCAGATTTCATCTCTGTGTGTCACCGCTCATGTCAAAGTAAAAATGCGCTCAGACATGAGAGTTGTCCTGCTTTCATCAAGAGTGCCAGCCTGCCTGAGCCTCGTTCCACTTGGTTAAGCTTGTTATTTAAATTGTTAAAATTGAGACATCGGCAGTCAGTTTCAGAGAAGATATAACAATTATTAGATACAAGCTGGGCTCTTGTACTTGAGACTATACCATGTTCTCCATCCACCGGCAGAATTAGGCACAAATAATTTATAGCGGTTTCTTTAAGAAGTGTGGCCTGTTGTACTTGGATGACATTAAATCATAGCCCGTCCCCACCTGGATCATATTTCCAAGTCTCAGATAGATTTGGTTCCAGTCAGCAGAGTGGCGGAGCACTCCAGGGGGCCACCTTTATTGCCTCGAACTCTTGAATTGCTGAGGGAGGATTCCCCAAACTGCTGGCTGGCTGTGAGCTTTGTGTTTAGGTGACTTTGTACATGAGGCAGGGGAGCCACAATCCAGAACAATCGCCCCGGGAGGGTGAGGAGAAGGAAAAAGCTGAGAGTCTCTCTAAGTGACCTTGTGCCACTCAGCAATCCCATTAAAACCCTACTGGAGCACTTGACCTTGAGGCGATTGTGCTCTGGGCCACAATCTCATTGTACTGAGCCAAAGGGTAAAGGAAAGAGAAAGGTATGAATGAAGCTTGGAATCTTCAGAAGGACCCTCAGAGTCCATCCAGCCCATCTTAGCCAACCTCTCACTGAGTGCAGGAACTCCAGTAAGAACATGCTTATCCAGCAGTTGATTCATTAGATTTTGACGTCAACAGAAATCCCAGGGTTGGCTGCTGTTTTATTTATTTATTTTTCAAAATTTAATTTAATATTTTCTTATCACCATTTATCTCCCCATACCCTCTTCCACCTTCAACCCTCCTCACCCCCTGCAATCTCTACACTGCTGCTGTTGTTTAATACAAATGACTCTCAAGTCAAATCTCCCCTCATCTGTGTTTATAGACTTGATTATTTGGACCCAAATCTCAGACTTGACATTTAGTTATGCTCAATATCATCATACTGATTTGGGTGCATTATTTTCTGTTAATGAAATATTTGAAAATTCTGATTCTGACATTTAATGTAAGAGAGCTGTGTAATCTTTAAATTTCTATTCTTTTTAAAAATATATATTTTATTGATTTTTTACAGAGAGGAAGGGAGAGGGATAGAGAGCTAGAAACATCGATGAGAGAGAAACATCGATCAGCTGCCTCCTGCACACTCCCCACTGGGGATGTGCCCGCAACCAAGGTACATGCCCTTGACCGGAATCGAACCTGGGACCCTTGAGTCCGAAGGCTGACGCTCTATCCACTGAGCCAAACCAGGGAGGGCTAAATTTCTATTCTTTGTTCATATTATAGAAAAGATCAGAATTTTAGAGCTAAGAGAAAGCTTAGACATCATCAACCCAATGCTCCCATTTTAAAAATTAGTGAATCAAGAGTTAAGAAGCTGAATAACTTTCGCAAAATCATGCATCTAATGACATTAAAACATAGATACTCTTTGAGTATATGTTGCCTTGTTATTTAAAAATTTACCCCACTGTAATGTAAACACACATTCCCTGTGTTCATAGGTCACTGTGGGTGGCTTTGTAAACATACCCTTTTAGAATCAGAACCTGCTCTTGGCATTTCCCATCCTGCAGTCATTTGCTCCTTAGGCATCACTTCACATCCTTTTGCCTAAACTACCCCGGGGCCCTTGGTCACTTGATTTGCCCCAGGTTGCCACGGTGACTGTCTTTTATGGGCATAACCCAACATAACTCATGCCTGTCCATGAGCCACCCCTGGGCACTGATGCATGAGACTACTCAGAACCCCAATCTGCACCACTGCACAAGCAGCTTGGAAATATAGGGACTTACTAGTTAGTGTGTGTAATGAATTGACCCACCTGCTTGTGGAGGTTGGCTGAGTCCAAAATCTGCAGTGTGGGCCAACCCTAGATGGCTCAAGACCCAGGAGAGCTGATGGTGCAGTTCTAGTGTGAAGGCCAGCAGGCTGTCACTAAATTCAACATTAATGTCATCCAAGGGCATCCTCCAAGTGGACATAAAACAAAACTTAGGCCATTGAAGTATGGGAGTCAGTGGATGAATTATTCTTCCTGCCCTTCCCTGCCCCCCACACCCTCCAGCAGGTTGCCTGGAAGGCAGTATTTCACATGGCCTCCCTGAAGACCATCTGTACCACTGAGCCAGCGAACCCCTTCCCTAATCTGATTAAAACCAGGAGCTCATTTCGCAAAACATGCCCCCCCCCCCGCAACTTTGTATTTGTTCACATTTCAAGAATCTCTTACTGCAAAGTTTCTGCTGATTCCCTTTGACCAGTTTAAGACCGATGGTAGATTATGTACCAAGATTCAAGGGCAGGAAATATTATTACCACTTGTGTATAGAATCTGAAGTGTAACGTTGTCAGCTTATAGCCCAAATCAATCCTGTCTGTCTAGACAAAGCAATTCAACTCCTTGATAATTTACCAATTACAGGGCACTTATTCATTGGAGACTTCATAAGTGCAGGACATGAAGGGCATGGAAAATAAAAGATATGATTTCTGCTTCCAAATTATTTACAGTCTGCTGAGCATTTTTTGCTTTTTGTCCTCTCATCAAATTGGGAATACAGTTATCAAGTTAGACATGTGAAATATTTATGACATTGAAGTCTTTTGACCAAGACGTTTCAAAATTCAAATGGTTCTGTTGGGGCCATTGAGGATCTCAGTGGCGATGAGCCATCAGGTGCAAAGCAGGCATGGAGATTCCTGAGGAGAAGATTCAGTAGCTCGTGCCAGGGAAAGACCACCAGGGACCTAGGGCCTTTTGCTCTAGTTGCTTATTGACATTTTGAGAGGACTTGAATGGAGCAGACCCAACAATCCGTAGCTAATGCTGGCTCTGAAATAAAATACCAAATAGCTCTCTTTTTAGATTTATAATCTGAATTAAAACCTAAGCCAATATTATGATACAATTAATTCTCCAAAGCAGATAGACCTGCAAGATGGAGGAGAAATCTGATGGCTAAAACTAAGCTGTGGACCATTCCAATATCCACTGGCTATATCTACTGTAGAGGAACAGATAATCTGAGTTAATAGCATAACTGATAGTTGATGAGAAGTTTTTGTCTTCCTATTTCCCACTTTAATTTTAGTCACATGTATATTTTTTAATCCTCACCTGAGGATATGTTTTTATTTTTAGAGAGGGGTGGGGGAGAGAGAGAGAGAGAGAGAGAGAGAGAGAGAGAGGTATCAATCGGTTGCCTCCCACATATGCTCCAACTGGGAATCAAACCTGAAACCTAGGTATGTGCCCTGACCGGAAATTGAACCTGAAACCCTTTGATACACAGGATGACGTTCAAACCAACTGAGCAATCTGTCCAGGGCTAGATACATATCTTAACCATTTTGTACTTTTTACTATACTCTTGCATCTGTCCAAGAAAATTTAAAAGATGCATATGGACTCTATTGAAATAAGGGACTTTATGAACAGCATATTTCCTGTATTATAGAGGTGCTACCTCAATGTATCCCTGAACTGTGAAAAATTACTATAAGATCTAATACCCTCAAAAGCATCCCCGCGTTCTCTTATGCCTTTCGATAATTGGTCTTGACCCTTACTCAGGCAAAACTCCCACCGACTTTCAATTGATTTGACTTAAATAAGGTCAGCTCCAGATGGCCCCTTTTCTACTCTATATTCTCATCATGTGATGCAATGTGTCATAATACAGCAAGGATGTGTATTGGCAGTCTGATACTGATGATTAATTGCTGGGAAAGTAATTTCTTTATAATCGCTCTCATATGCTTTTGGTGACCTGATATCATGGGGACTCAGGAAAGCTGGCCCAGAATGTCTCTAAGATGGTGACTTAATACCCCCATCCCACCCAATACTCCCAAAATGAGCCCAAGTCTTTGAAAATCATCGTAGCAGTCCACATTTCTTGAGTGCTGACTCGATGCCAGGCACATTCTGCAGACATTGCTTCATCTCCTGTGATCTACACAACAGCCCCATGAGGTAGGTGCTGCAAGGAGGCGTTGCAGCCCATTTGGAGACCATTGCGCCGAGCCCATTCCTGGCTCAGTGCCTTCACACTATGTTCCTTCTACCTGGCCTGCTCCTCCTGCTCACCATGTGGCTGGGTTCTTTTCACATTTTAGGTATCAGCTCACATGTCCTCCTTGGGTAGGCCATCCCTGATCACTCCATGTAAAGTAGGCCTCTGTCTGACTGGGTAAGCGTCAGTTACCGTATCAACTCTCTTTCTTTTACAGCATTTGTCACAATCTATACTTACCTTATTGGGACAGCATTGCGTTTCTTTATTGTCTCCCACTGCAATGCAAATTCCATGAGGGGAGCAGCTTTGTCTGAATCATTTATCACTCTAGTCCAGCATCCAGGGGACCACCACGTCACTGAGACTCAGCCAATATCCGTTAATTGATCAAAGAGCCATGCTAGCAGGAGCCAGACTTCAAATCTTCGGATTAAATACCTGTGCCTGGTAATGTGAAGGCTGGGCAGGGTCCCCTGGCAGAAGAGAGGCAGGTGTGGCGCTTTGGAATGGAGACACGATTCATGCACTGGGTACTTTTTCTGTGCTTGCCTGCTGCTTTGTTCTCCTGTTTCCCTCCGGGCTTACTCCTGGCTCACCCCATACCTTTCAAGCATTTTCTTGCCTTAGAGCAGAAATACTTCCTCCTGTGCCGTGGGAGATGTTGAAACCGACTTTGGTTGTCTCATGACTAATGGATACTGGTATTTGCTTTGCAGGATACCCATGAGCACTGGACATTCCAGGACATCCAAGAAGACAGCTAACCAAAGGAACTTCAGCATCTGGAAGGCTGGACCAAGGCAGGGGTGCATTTGACAGGGATGTCCACTGACCACGCACCTCAAAAGGTGACATGGCTCATTACCAGCCAGCTTTTTTTTGGTGAGAAGTGACCAGGCCCTAATGCGCCAGTGTGAGCACACTGGCTTGAGATAACTGGCTGGGCCTGACTAAATATGAGACCAGATTTTAGACAAAATGCCTTTTAACCCCAAGGTGGGGGAGGGAGATGGAAAGGGCCTCTTATATCTGCAGGGTCTGCCTGCCCTGCACTCGTGCCAACAGGAGGGCTCCACTGGCACAAGGAACTCCAGCACGCTCCTCCTCCAGGTTCAGAACACATCCCCGCAGCCTTCAAAGCGCCTGACATCCTTTCAAGTGAGCAACTACGAGGCAAATGCAAACAGAGCGCGTTCTGGAGGCGTCCCGTCACTCAGCCCTCAATCTGCCTGTTCTTCCAGACACTCCTTCTCCTGCCTGATTTATTTCATATTAAAAGGGCTGTCAATCTGTATCACAGGAACAGGTTGGGAAAAGTGAGTGATGTTTGCCAAGTGGGTTTTTTGTTGTTGTTTGTTATTGTTAAAAATAATCGTCTCCCTCTCTCCGGCCATGCTCCTGCCTCTCCCCACACGGCTCTTCTAGTCCCTGCTTGCCTTTCTCTGCAGGTATCTACACATCGGAGGTACGGGCTGCACGTACCAGATGCATTTACATTAGAAACGTGGTATAAGAAGGCTGTGGCAGACCAGTTTTTATGATCCGTCAAATATATCTCCTTTTACCATCAGATGGCTTGGCAACAGGACCATTCTTCTTTTGAATAAAATAAATGTGCCTGCTACATGGCAGAATATTCAGCGTTGTAGAGGCTCTGCCCTGGCCAGTGTGGGCTGCATCCTGTGGGCTTTGTGACAGCGGGATGCTAGGATGCAATCTGCAGTTCCCGGTGGGATTGCATTATATGGTGCCGGCTGCATTATCGTTTTATGTTGGGTGTTAATTACTGCCTTCTCCAGTCATTGAGGCTAGCTTCCCTTACTTTTCTCTGCTATTCTGGCCTATGAAGAGAATTACTCCATCATTCCATACTGTTCATTTCTCATTACTCTCGAAGGTGCCTGATTCTTTGAGAACCAATCAAAGCCATCTTTGCCTGCCATATGAAAACTCCCGAATTACTAGAACAAAGTACCTGAAGTCAGGTGGTCTCCATGCAGAGGGTCCAAGTCAGTGGTTCTGTGTTGAGCATGAGTGGGAATTGCTGGGGGAGTTTTTGAGAAGCAAACTCCTGAGCTCCAACCCCAGAAATGCAGGTTTGGGGGTGGGGCTCAGGAATATGCATTTTAAATCATGGCTCAGGCTTGGGTGGGGTGGGGTGGGGTGAGGTAGGTGGGGGGTGATGGTGTGTGGCTCGGGCCCAGGCATCTGCTGTGATGCAGCTGATCCACCCCATCCCTCCCTCCAGGCTTCCTCCAGGCTCTACCTCTTTCAGCTCTGCTCTCCCGTGTAACAGAACATAATCGCTTAGGAGAAAGGCCCAAGTCGGCAACAATATTAATGCTGCTCTTTCCTTTCCAAAAGAATTAGACACATAATAGAATTGTGAAGTGAAAAGACAGGAAGGAGAGAGAGAAAGAAGAAAAATATTCTAGAATAAAAATATAAGCAAACTACTACTCAGTAACAAAGCCCTCCAGAGGCCCAAGGAGAATGCTGCCTTCAGGGAATTAATAGACCCACTTCCTAGGTTGGGTCACTGAGGAGTCCAGGGAGGTCAGATGAGAGAAGATGCTGGTGTGGGAGGAGCTTTCTCTGTAATGCAGCACACCAAGTCTGTTTTTGCTCTCAGGTAACACATGCTGAAAAGTGGCCCCTGAAAGGAATGGGGTAGATCTTCAAGAACCTACTGGAACTTGGGAAGAAAACTCATGGAACAGGTACAAATACATTTTATGCAAAACAAAGATAATTACTTAAAGTCACCAATTCCTCATTCTTTTACTGTATTTTATTATTATCTATGCTCTTGAGGTTATTTCCATAGTCTCTGTGTGGTTGACATACTAGACAATGGTGGGCTATTCTGTGTCTTATCCCAATTCCATATTCAGTGACATCATCTTGGTAGCTTGAAATTGACCATGATAGGCATATTTACACCACAGCAACCAGCAAATGCTGCAAACCAGTACTTGATTTATTGTTTTGTTGATTATCTAGACTTAAGAAAGTGATGGAGAAAATGTTAATAATGCAGATTAAACATAAAAGTGTGTCACGTCTATGGCTGCTACATTGCGACTGCACAAACATTTGAGGAAATATTTTTCCAGTATTCGAAAACCATTATCTGATTCTGCAAAGAAGTCACTCATGTCATTGACGAACGAATATAGTTCTGACACATGTCTTCGTTTTTCACTTTTGTCCTATCATTAATGTAAATGAAAATATCAACCACTATTCATGTTGGAACTACATTCATTCATCACTTGCAAACTGAGAATGGATACATGAGTTCATAAAAAATTGGCAAAATACTTCTATGTGGAATTACAGTAAAGAGTTTTACTTATTTTTATTTATAAACTAGAGGCCTGGTGGATGAAATTCATGCACTGGGGGGGGGGATCCCTCAGCCCGGCCTGTGCCCTCTTGTAGTCCGGGAGCCCTCAGGGGATGTCCAACTGCCAGCTTATGCCCGCTCCCCATGGCTGGCAGTTGGACATCCTTAGTGCTGCTGCAGAGGTGGGAGAGGCTCCTGTGACCACTGCTGTGCTCGCCAGCCATGAGTCTGGCTTCTGGCTAAGTGGCGTTCTCCCTGTGGGAGCACAATGACCACCAGGGGGCAGCTTCTGTGTTGAGCATCTGCCCCCTGGTGGTCAGTGCATGTCATAGCAACTGGTTGACTGGTCAGCTGTCTGCCCCCCAGTGCTCAGTGCACATCATAGCAAGCAGTTGAGCAGCCTTAGCATATCATTAGCATATTACACTTTGAATGGTTGAACAGCTGACTAGACGATGGGACACTCAGTATATTAGGCTTTTATTATATAGGATTATGTGCTATGCATTCTTCAAATCAGTAAAATTTATAATAAACCCATGTACACACATATACAGGCATCTTCCCCCTGTTCTTTCCCCAAACACTGTGAGCTGGTTGGTAAACATGCCAGCACATCACTGCTTTAATCACCTTACAAATATAAACTAGTGAATGTTTCTTTGGGAACACAAATAGGGAGCAAACTTATTCAGAGGCAGTGTTATCTCATCCCCTGGATTATGTATTTCTTGAGTAAAGAGCCCCTGTCTGATTCAATCCTTTATCTGCTCTTTTGCCAGGAACAGAGCTTGTATTCAGTAAGTGCTCAAAAATGTACGACACCTGGCCAGTGTGGCTCAGTGGTTGAGGGTTGACCTATAAACCAGGAGGTCATGCTTCCATTCCCCATCAGGGCATATGCCCAGGTTGTGGGCTCAATCCCCAGTAGGGGGCCTGTAGGAGGCAGCCAATCAACAATTCTCTCTCA